ATATGTTTGATATTGGCAAAAAAACATAAACCGCATCTCCATTGAAGAGCATTAATTTTTATATGTTTTTCTTTGTAAAAAAAATGCCTCTGTTTTCTGCTTCTTATACTTCCAATTCACTCTCTGTTTCTATAATACCCAGATTCCACATGACCAGGTATTCTGGGTCTTTCATTTCTTTGGCATTTCTTCATACCTGTTGTCTACCATTTGTTATGATTTCCAGGCTACCATCTCCAAAGTTACCAAAAACCTGATAACTAGATTCCCACATACCATGAGTTGTAGTTAGAATGGAAGTCCTTTGCTTGCAGTATGGTGGTAAGTGTTCAACACTGGAAAACCTCTCATTTATAGCTCATGCTGACTTCCATAGTATGCATACTTCAATCCTGGATGGTTTGTAGTGTCTAATGTGTCACTAAATAACATCAGCAGTGAGGGGCTCTGGAGTCAGCCCCAGCCAGTCACTGATGTCCTTTGGGGGAAGCTTCGAGTCTCTGGCATTCCTCCTATTTTCTATCACTGATTCTGACTTCTCTCTATTCTTTCATTTCTCCTGTATCTGTCTTTATCCATGAATTCAAATTTAGTTGAAGTATATATTTTTATCTCTTTATTCTCTTCCTTTACAGTTTCTTTAATTCATAGATTTTTCTCCATCACTGTAACTGGAATGATGCCCAACTTGATTCTCTGAGGATCATCTCTCCATTGCAGGTCATCTCCCCACCCCCATTTTACCTCTAGTTTTAGCTCTACTCATTAGACCTAAACTAAGTAGAACTCGAAACTCAATAGAGTTAAAACTAGGCTTCCTACTTTGCCCCATGCAAAAAAATTACTAACTTTCCTCCAAATACTTAAAAAATATTACATGAAAACGACATACTGGACATTTCATAGAACTTAATTAGGACTTAGGAAATATTATCCGTATTTTATAGATGGTAAAAATTCAAACCCAATTGACTTCAGTGTTTCAATGTATCCTGTCCAATAGTTAATGGAACTGGGATGTGAACACAAAGTCATATCAGCAGACCCCAAGTTCTTTCTGTTATAACATTATGGCTCTTGGTCAGTGGAAAGATCATTTTCTCCTCACACTACTTAAACCATGCTAGTAAATTTGGATTTCCTTTTTAATCTGTTGTTAATTATTGAATCCTTTCTCCTCACACACTGTGCCAGTATTTGAGTAAATGTTTTCTCTTTCTTTCAGGGCTGTAAGCTTCTAAAAAAAAAGAGTACTGGTGGCTGATGACAGTAATTTTAGCTGTTAAGGAGGCCAAGATTTGAGGACAGTGGTTCAAAACCATCTGGGGAAAAATGTCCCTGAGATTCTTATCTCCAAGTAACAAGCAAAAATTTAGAAGTGGAGCCTACCTCAAATGGTATCACATCAGTGTTGAACAACAAAAAAGCCAAGCAATTGCTCAAGGCCTCAAGTTCAAGCCCCTTGACTGACACACACACACACACACACACACACACACACACACACACACACACACACACACACACAGAGCAAGAGCAAATGTCTTTGTTTTATTCCCCGCTGTAACAGAATTTCTGGTAGCAGTAGGCACTAAGTACATCTTTAATAAATAAGATAGTTAAGGAATAAAGATATATTTTGAACAGATTCACTTCATTTCTCCTCTAATAGCAATGATCACCTTAGAGTCTTTGATGATTTTATATGATAGGAGATCAAATAATAGGAGATCAAATATATAACAGGAGATCAAATAATAGGAGATCAAATTTTACACAAGAAATATGCAAATTTAGTTTGATGCAAGATGAACAAGAAGAAAAAACATTCCAAATGTACTAGGATTTTAGTGGAAACTATTATACCCATTTCTGTACAGATCATGATTTAAGCTTCGGTGAATATCAAATGACTTCAGGGAAATGTCCTTCCTTGCATTTCTGATTATTACAGGTGACTTCTTACACTTTCAAGAATCTTCCTTAAAGAACAAGACTCAGCACTCAAAACCCAAATATCTATGCAAACGCCTCTGAATTATAAGAGCTAGCTTCACTGTTATGCAGTCAGTAAGTGGCAAATATGTGGAGGTTGTGGGCACTTTGCTGCTGTTCATGAATAGATGTATCTCTGGAGCTTTCTCAAGTCTGTAGTCTCTAGTTATGTATCACTTTTATGTATTTCACTGCTCACGATTGAGTGTGACTCAGGGTTCTTCTATAGATAGCAATCCACAGAGCTGTGACAAGATCTATGACTCAGAGTTTGTACCTTGGAAAGTTGATGAGACCATTTCGACTATTTATGAGTACAAAGGTACCTGAATGCCCTCACATTATCAACTTGAAATTTGTAAGTGGCATTTTCAGAACTATTTTATAATAATCTACTAATCTATTATCTTATAATTGAAATCCTGTCAGTTCTTGTTCATCATTAATATTTCCAAATACATTTCAAGTTTCTTGCCAGACCTGATCACAAAGAAATTTAGAACAGTTTTAGAAGACAATAGTTGTCAATATCATTCTTGAAACTAGTACATGAGAAATTAAAAACTAGTGTACCAATTGATTGAGCATCTGAAACTTTTTGGTGAGTACAGTGTGGAACCTAAGTCCCAGAGCTGTAACAGACAGGAAAGACTCACTACAAAATCATTTGTTCATTTAGTGCTTAGTATCTCATTTGGTCAGTGAGAGCCAAGTTTGAGTTTGGCAAAAGGCTTCCATTGCTGAGCTACTAGTGCCAATCTATACTGTGGGAAACTTGCTTTCAATATAAATCTACATAGATAAATGGGACCACATACTAGTCACATGTTTCAGGGGCAGAAGATACAATTCTCTGTAAATAGGATTTGTGAGGGTAAAGCTCAGATACATAACACTGAGTTGATTTCTATTGCTGTAGTGCCTACCATAACATGATATAATTTTGATAATTGTCTTTTACTGTCTACTTTGTAGAACTGAGCTCGTCATAATTGAGAGTAGGGATATTCATGCCTTCTCAGGAATACCGATTTAGACAACTACTCTGTGAGCCCTTTACATGGATTGACTCAAAATATAAGAAAACCTCTTGCTTCGTTGGGTCTTCAATTATTCCTTCTTTAATGGTAGCTTATGCACTGATAACAGAGGAAGAAAACAAATTCTAACTCAAGGCCCCACTTCATGTGATATTACACTTAATGGAAGCTCTATTTTAAGAGATCGATTCTGCATAATGTTAAGCCCAGAGTCTGTGCTCCTACATTTTGCAAATGATAAAATCACAACTGAGTTAATTTCAAACAAGTAGTGAGTAATAAAATTTACATTCTAAATATTCCCATTACAAGTGCATGCTCATTTTGTTATTTTTCTAGAAAAGGGTTGTTTAAATCTGTGTGTGTGTGTGTGTGTGTGTGTGTGTGTGTGTGTGTGCTCGCTCATTCGCTTGTCTTATTTGGCTTGCTTTTGTCTCTATTCTCTCTGAGCCTAGTTGCCTTGGTTACCATTACATACGTGCTTGCATGTGAAATTTCCTTTTGACGTACATTTATTTCTATGGAAACAGTGATGTCACTGGTGTGGGTAGGTGTTAAGAAAGAGCAAAGTAACTAACTATTGAATATTGATCTTTCCTTTGGTTCTAACAATAAGTTTTCCTGACCAAATGATTTGCTTTAAGTCATTAAAGCCATTTTGGAATTAAAGAGCTATATTTTTGTTTGTATTTTGATGTGATCATCAAAACATTTTTCTTTGTTTATAGACTTGCTTGCCTAGCATGACATGTAAGTTTTAGAGTTCCTTTTTCTGATATGCAGTGACATAAAACTCATGAATAGACATGTATAACTATAAGAGTTACTTATTTTTTTAAAAAGTAATGATAGGGTTAGGAGCTAGGGCCTTGTGTGTGTGAGGTCAGTATTCTACCATTTGTAAAACCCCCATCCCTTTCTTGCTTTTGTTATTTTTCTGGATAGGGTTTGCTTTTTGTTTAAAATTTTATTTGCATAAAGTTATTAAAGAAGGGTGTTTCATTGTGACATCATGCATACATACAATGTACCCCAATCAAGCCACACTTTCTTTCTCCCTCAACGCCTGCCCCATTTTAAAATAATTTCAACAGGTTTCATGTTTCCCTTTTCACATATGATACAAAATACTTTGACCTTGTTCACACTCTGCAATGGCTATCCTCCCTCCTGCTGGTCATAGCCCCCACCAACACAGCCAGTTTTATTTTCTGGTCATTATTTAAGATGTATTCATTTTACAAAGGAGTTTTACAGTGGCATTTTGCGTGTGTAAATTATTATATTTTAGTCTGATCAGTCCTCTGTAAGTACTCTTCAAGTATTCTCTCTACTCCTGTCTCATTGTTTTTTTTATTGTGAAAATATTGTACAGAAGGGTTACAATTACATGGGCAAGATAGCGAGTACATTTCTTATCAAGCATTCTCTCATTGTTTAATAATTTTCAGTGTAATGCTTTATGCAGGATCTTGATTTTTGCCTATGGCAGCCTCTGACTTCCACCCCCTACCTATGATTCCCTTGTATTTGGAATTACAGGCATGTGCTGCCACACCCCGCTAAGAGTTATTACTGTAACCTTAAGTGTCCCTCAGAAAGTGAAGTCTGTAGTAATAACAAACGTTATTGTCAAAAAATGGTTCAAGTGATTTTATATCCACGTCAAGGCAATGGGCAATAAATGATGGGTTAGAAGTAAAAAGACTGTAATTGTAATCATTGTTTAAAATTATATCTCTAGTTTTATGCAAACAGGACTATAACCAGGTAATGATACTTATTAAAACATGTTTTTCTATGGTATCAAATAAGCCCCTGTAGAACTATAGTCTACTTTCTCTTAGGTATTAGGAGGCTGTCAATGTGGGTTGTTTTTTTTTTTTTTGGTGGAGGGAATCATCAATATCTCTCTCCTTCTGCTCCTCCTGCACAATCCTCCAGCCTAATCTGTTTTCTTTCCAGATGATGTGGAAGCCTGCCTATGACTTTCTGTATAATTGGAGTTCACACTATGGAAACAGCTATAGAGATGTGTTGCAAGACCTTCAATCAGCTTTAGACAGAATGAAAAACCCTGTGACCAAACAGTGGAGAGACCTAACTGGAACTTTAATATTGGTGAATTCTTTGGAGGTGTTGAGGGTAACTGCATTCTCTACATCTGAGGAAGTATGGTAAAGAACAGCATGTTTACAAGGGCAGGGAGAATGGCAGGGTGAGGGACAAATGTAAGTATATGTGCTTAAAAGAAACGAATCTCAAAAACTGTATCATATTTATTTTCTTTTTTTTTAAACCTGGTGAAAGTAATGCCTTGCATTGTATCCAGAGTTGGATTTTATCATCAAACACCTTCTCAGTGCATGATTCAAAGGCAAACATTAGCTGCTTCATTGCTGAGAAAGCAAAGACAAGTCACTTTTTACCTCTTTTGAAGTTGCTTTCAATTTTCTTCAGTTAAAACAAATTACGACGAATAATATCACACAGATGTATGTGAATCAAGAGTGGGCAAAGGGACCTGGAGTTTCCTGGCAGACTAGAAAAGGGGAGGAGCCCATCGCAGAACTGCAAGCTTCCTGTCCATGGTCTCATGTTCCTTGGTGTTGCTGGCCAACATCACGCCCAGGCTTCATGTGGAGAAGTGAAGGACTGAAGAAATCAACCAAGGCCAGCATAAAGTAGAACATCTGCAAAATTCATAACCTGTAGCCGAATAGCAAAAAGAATAATAAATAGGAAAGAATATTGAAGCTTACAGCAAAATTGCAGTTACTCCATTTTAAGTGAAGCTTGTTCATCTTTTTTAGCCTGTCGTGAAAGATTGCCTCAAGGAAAATATGAGTTATCAGAAATTTGCTGTCTGTATACATGGGCCTAGTGTTTTTATCTCTACTTCCTTCAGTATCTTGGGACCTATCTAATCATGCCTAACGGGCTTCATCTGTAAGATCCAAATGCAAAGTAGTTCTCTGGTTCTGAGGGATTTTTTAAATAACAAAAGTTATTAAAAACAACAACCATCACCAAACGCTGATTTATCATTGTTGATATAACAACTTTAACTGCCACAAATATAAGGCATCTTTGTGCATGCTTGCATAAACATATATATCCTGTGTGTGTTTTACAAAGCTTATAGGAAACAAGGCTAACTTAAGAAGATGGTTAGTATAAATACTGACACCTGGCAGAATTCACAGAGATGTTCCATGCCTTGCAATATGCCCAATCCTCTGACAGACTGGCAATGTTTATGATTTTGGTCCTTTGCTTACTTTTTCACTTGACAGATGGGAGTATATGGCAGGCACATAGGTAGGAGTGTGGGGAATCATGATCTCTGACTTCAACATTAGTAAGTGATAGAGATACACATATAAAATATGATACGATTAAGTATGAAATGGCATCTAGAATGATAGTTAAGGTGGAGAGATTACTGTGATGCTCAGAGATGCAGAGACAGAAGAGCCATCCTATGAGTTTGTATGCCAGGATCTGGTACATTTTCTGTGGTGAAGAAACAGGTTAAAAGAAGACCGGGCATTACCCTGATACAAGAAATGATACTGGATGTGCCATAGCTCTCCAAGCAAAAGAGCTCTTGGGAATGCAGGGATCCAGGGAAGGAGTACAGGAAGGAGGAGGTCACAGTAGACGGGGATGAGGCCACACCAGGGCCATAAAAACCACAAAGATTTAGAAAGGAATGACACATCCTTAAAGATAATGTGGATGAGCTGAATAAGGACTTTGTTTTGAGATCCTGAATAAAACATGTCCATTTGGCTAAAAAAGTAAAAGCAGAATCTTTTTTAGAGCGTTTAATACACCCACCCTGGGGCATTTGGTATGCTAGCAAAGGTAATTTGAATTGGAGAGTTTTAGAACAATCCTTAAGGCTTTCAATATTTATATCTGATGATTGAGAAAAAAAGACACAACCAAAAAACCTACAACAGCTTCACCAAGGAGTTATGTACACACATTCAAGGACAGAATTTATTTCAATTGAAAATAAATTTAGAAGGAAGGAAGAAAAAAGATCTAATTAGTTAGTTTGGGATACAACCATTTTAAATGATGATTTTGCTGTCTTTTGGACATTCTTGGAATTAGCATGTCAGTAAACCAGAGGATTTCGGAAGGGACAGTAAGGAATTAATAACTGGGTTTTTTCAGGCTACAAGCTGTGAGAAGACAGAAGACTTGTTCACTGATTAGTGTGGTAAGACTCAATAAGTCATTCCAGGTTACACCTCATCATGTTTTTAGACTGTGGTTGGGGATTTTAAGAAGAGTTTAAAAAATGAAAAACATTGCTAAGGATGGAACAATGGTTTAAATATTAATACACACAAAGTTATCTCATGATCAGAAAACAAATCTTTCTGGGGAATTTTTTGACTATGTCTAAACATTCTATTATTAAATTATTCCAGTATTTTGACCTAATTTGTTTCTTCTTTTCTGAATTATATGTTTTCTTGCTTGAATGTATTTTCTTAATAGAAAAGGTTAACTTAGAACTGCATTTAGTATTTGGCAGAAGTCAAATAAATTAATAAGGCACTTACAAACTATATTTGACATCATTATAAGCATCAAAGGTTATTCATCTACAACTTCTTGGAGCATTTCTAAAGTGGAAAAGGCTTAGATGACTTTTTCTATTCTTCAGTCTCTTCATCTAATGATGCATGAATTAGTTTCTCATTCAGTCCCTAGCTTGAAATGTGACAATTTTTCAATGCATGGCATAGATTGTTTCCTTTCGTGAAAGTCTTCATAGGAAGCAATAAAATAATTCTTTCAGTAGTATGTTATTAACTGCCCATACCAGTATGGAAATAGCACACTTGATGCCCTGTGTTATAGACAATATTATATGTTGTGAATGTGGAGATAACAAGTTTGCTGGAAGGAATGGAATGGTGTCGCTGAATGCACCGAGGTGAGGAAAGTTACTACTAGTAAATGGTGTTAAATATGTGATGAGAACATAAAATAGCATAGCTTAAATTATATAATGCTATAAACTAGAAGCTTCAAAACAATTTTAATATTGTGCTAATGCAAGTGATATATTTGGTGATTTTTAATACCTAAGGAATATTTGAGATGAAATATAAAAGGATAATATGTGAACATTTGTGTCACTAGAGGTTTTTCTTGTTAAAATAGATCTTTCTGTTTATACATGTATCATATATACTTTCCTCATCCCTTTTCTTTATAAAGTTTTCTCCTAGCATGTTGAGAGGAAATTATAATAATATAAACCAAAGATTAAACCTCACCATCATGCTGAGTAGACTACAAACACATTTTTCAGAATGAAAGAACATGTTTGGAGGTTGGTTTCTTGTATGTATATTTTCCAATCCACAACGCAAAATTAAAAGTGAGTACTTAGGTGCAGAAACTTTAATTTGTATGTGTGTAGTATTAGATATTAAATATTGTTGTAAAATAGATGTATGGAATATTGTACATTGACCTTCTATTTATGGAATAAATAATTTTGCAACATTGAGTCATGGTGTTGGTATATGTAGAAGGAAATAGGAATTAGTCATGGCAAAGAAGACTCCAGCGCAAACGCTGCTGGAGTTTATATGGTTTATATGGCATTAATCCAGAAGTTGAGAGCTATGACTTCCAATCTTTGCCAATTTGTCTAGATCAGATCAGACGAGTCACGCAGTGTATGGAGCTTCATTTTGCCCATCAGCGAAAGAAGGACTTTGAACTAGGTGATTTCTGAAGTTCCCCTCCAACTGAAGTATGTGTGATTGTTTACTAAGCAGGACATATTATAGTATGTTGATTTTATTTTGTGGGAAGAGACTTGCAGTAAAGAGTAATTTGAATAGCAATTATCCATGATGAAATAATATCCTTTCTGTGCTAGCACATTGTGTTATGCAGACTTTCTGACACAGTGACAGCTACCTAAGTGAAATAATTTAAAGGGATTAACACATAACTTTGGTGCAGAGTTCCAGAGGTTTTGGTCTATGGTCTGTGAGCACTGCAATGAATCAGATCATCATGGAAGGGCATAGTGGAGGGAAGCGTCTCATCTCCTGGAAAAAAGAGAAGAGGAGGGAAGGGGGGAGGAAAAGAGAAAGAAGGAGGGAGGGAGGGAAGGAGGAAGGATGTGGTCCAGGGTTTAACCCTCAAAGCATAGCCTCAGTGATCTATTTCCTGGAACCTCCCAGAACCTTCCAAGATAGCATCAAGCCTTTAATGCATGTCTGTAACACACGTAAACTTAAACACACTAAGCTATTACAGTTATTATCTCTGTTCTCCACATAATCTTATGAAATTCGTTGTGAAATGTGTGCTGCTATAAATTCTTGGTAACCACATTTGTTTTAGAATAGTTTTGACATTACTCAAGATGAACTAATATGGTATTGGAGCAGTTGGAAGGTTACTAGCATTTACTCAACGTTACACCACCAAACATCACCTAGTATCTCATTTAAAGTTGACTGTGAAGAATATATGTTAATATTGTACTTGCTTCTGTTCTTGCGTATTTTTATTGATTGATCTATCATTTGTTATACCTATTGAATTGATCTTACCTCACTGAAAATGTATTTGTAGCTAACAGAATACAACAATCTATAAAACTTTCCACAGCACAATTACAAAGTGATTACAATTACAAACATTTGCTAATAATGTGCACAGATAATCTCTTTCCAAAGAGCATTTAATTGAATGGTGACTGAGAAGTGAATGATAAATTATATAGGACTCTGGTCATTCACCTACCAAAGGAGACCAAAGGAGGCTATGCACAGAAGTGGTGGACAAAGGCCCAATAGCTATGGACAGATGATCATATAAAATAATTGTCTATGAAATGAACCCCAAGAAAAGGAAACAAGAGACACTTTTGAGTTACCATTGTTGCTGGTTTTCTTTTCTCTTTTTTTTTGTCTCGTTGGTTTTTATTTGAGAGAGTAAGGGAGGGCACATAAAAGGTGAAACAAGGATGAACAAATGGTATACTCACTAGAGTATACCATTTTGTGGGTTGGGATGGGAGAGAAAAACCATGAGAGGGGAAGGGGAAACATGGTTCAAAAAGAATTGTAGTCATTATCATTACTTGATTCACATAACTGTAACCGTCTGTATATCAACTCTACAATACCAATTTAAAAAGAAA